ACTGCCTCCCAGCTATGTGATTCTAGAGGCCATAAAGCCTGACACTTTCTCACCAATAAGTTAGGGAACACTTTCTAATTTTAATTTTAATTTTAATTTTAATTTTAATTTGATCCACTGTTCTAGTGAAAAATAGCAGGATTCTGTCCTCTATGATATTCATTCTTAATATAGTAGCCATTGTTGATCTTGATACCTATTGGAATTTTTTTATTTAATCCAAATTCCTTATAATGATGTGACATGACTTGCTTAATGACACTAGTCAATTTAAACAGACTCTACCACTGTACTCTCCAACCAACCTAACCCCTCCCCCATAACTGCTTTAAAAAATTTTTATTTAATGTTTATTATTTTTTTTTGAGAGAGAGAGAGAGACAGACACACCATGAGCAGGGGAGGGGCAGAGAGAGAAGGAGACACCGAATCCGAAGCAGGCACAAAATCTGTCAGCACAGAGCCCGACGTGGAGTTCAAACCCACAAATCGTGAGATCATGACTTGACCTGAAGTCGGACGCTTAACTGACTGAGCCACCCAGGTGCCCCCATAACTGCTTTTTTAAAAAATTTGCATCTTGGATATATTTTTAATGGTGTTTCCCTGGAGAAAAAAAAGCTTATCCCTAGGAAACTTTATTTCCGAACATGGAGCAGGTCAGTCTCTGGCAGAGGCTTAGAATCTGATTTGCCTCGTGGGTGAGAATTTGGGAAGTGGGTATCAATGACACTTTCTTCTCAGACAGTATTGCTAGAGGGCTTTGCATTCTGCACCCCAGGAGTTCTAACTTCCTTAGTTTAGTACAATTGAGAGCTGTATGGAGTTTAGCCCTGTTTATCTATGCATGTGGGTTTACTTCTGCAGATGGGAGGAGATGCAGGACTGATAAGTCACCTACAGATTTTATTCTTGGAGATGCTGAAGTTATTACTAGCAAAAATCACACTTGTTGTTCCTTCAGCAAGTGTCTAGTGAGCTTCTGTGGGGGTGTTTTGTCTTTATTGGGGGATCTCATATATTTAAATTTCATGAATTCTCTCCCTCTCCTCCTACCCCCTAAATTGCTGTTTCAACCTGTTCTTTCAGGTAACCTTGGCTTCTCTGAGGGATACTTGAGAGAGTGACTGTCTAGTAGGTGAGGTTCTGCTCACTCTTAATCTCTTTCCCACCTCGACCAGAGCAATCCTTCTTTTCCTTTTTGGCTTTTAAGTAAGCTTTTATTAGAAGAAAGAGTTCTGCTGCTAGAAATATATTTGAAAACCATAGCACTTCTTCAAGGGAGTGTGTGTACTTTATACATATCTATTGATGCTCATGTCTACAAAGATAAGATGATAATTTTCCTCACCTTGCTGTGCATGCATCCAAATGGCCAAATTCAGAGTAGTGCCATTCACAACCAAGCTTTTCTTTTCCAATCATTCATGTCCCAAGTCAGACAGCATTTGAATTTACAGACTTCAGTCTTCCATTTTTCTTAGCCACTTATTTGTATTTCAGGAAAGCTTTAGGGGTGCCTGAGTGGCTCAGTTGGTTAGGTGTCCAACTTTGACTCAGGTCATGATCTCATGGTTCATGAGTTCAAACCCCACATCAGGGTCTATGCGGATAGCTCAGAGCCTGAAGCCTACTTTGAATTCTGTGTGTCTCTTTCTCTCTGCCCTCCCTTACTCTTGCTCTGTCTCTCTCTCAAAAATAAAAACTTAAAAATTTAGAAAAAAAAAAAGGAAAGCTTTAAGGGATGCATGGATTTGGAAGTTTGTTTTTATTTTTGGATTGAAAAAAAAATGAAATATTCCTGAAAGTAAGGTCTGTCTATGTTCACACTGCCCTGAGAACTTTGTGGGAGTTCATTATGCAAATGATGTTCATGATAATAGTCTATTTTCTTTATCAGTGGTACTTGGGGTAAAAAACATTTAGCAGTTGGTTCTAGTTAAATGTGTGCTTTAAAGATATAAAAAGTATTTCTTTATAAAAATGTCCTCTACTTAAACAATCTCTCTAATAACACTGACCTATCACATCCTATTACTGGGCACTGGCCTTATTTCCTGAACTGGAAAGTGTGCTTGCCCCAGATTGGTATGAGTTTTGAAATACTATATCCTTGTTCAATTAGGAAGCAAGAGGTTGCTTTCAACATCTTTATAGTAACCAAAAGATAATTTCCTAAAAGAAGATTAGCGTGTAGACTTGAGTTGGTAGTTTCAGATGTGTACCTTACCTATTTGTATAGGATACAAATAAGGAAATATCAGAGAAAAATTATCTTTTTTTTTTTTATTTATATCTGAAATTTATTGTCAAATTGGTT